TGGTGCTCAAGAAACATTTATTATTATTATTATTATCAGTGTTGAAAACAAACAATATAAACAAACCTTACTGACCCCAAACTTTTTAATGGTAGTCTTATCAGTTAACTATATTAAACCTGTCTGCTATCTTTCCCTCTTTCATCCATTTGTATTGTTGCCATCCCTTAGCTATGGGATTGGGACATGTGGATGCGGATGCCCGAACAGAGGAATGGGAGAGAGTGTGTCATTCCTGATGTCTCCCGCTCTTATCACTTTGGCATTATTGGCTTAAACATGAATGGTTACTTCCATGTAAGAGAGACGGTTATATTTGCGTTAACGTCTGTGGTTTATTTATATTATTATATTAACTGTTACTTGTAATTTAGTATATTTTTCCACTGCAAATTGAATCTGGGATACTATGAATTCAGTGATATGGAATTTGTGTCTTTTCTAACATTTCCTCATTTTAAATAATGTTTTATACCAAACTGTGTTTGGTATGTTTCTCTACAGGAAGTTTACTTTAAGAAGCACAAGTTCAACACTATTCCGAATGTTCAGATGAAAAATGTAAATAGGTATGTATAGTTCCATATTAGCCTTCATATTAGCCCTATTTATATCCTTTTTCGGACATATTCTCTCTTTTAACAGCTTGAAGAAAGATGCATATGAGATTGAAATCCAAAACCTTCTACGGTAATTTTATCAGATGATCATACTCTATTTTATAGTTAATGTAACATCTTAAAATTGCATTATTACAACAACTACAGTAATCATTTCGGTGTCTGCAGTGGGGCTGAGGTTCTGGACCACAGTAAAAACCCATGTGAAGACTCATTTATCCCAGACACGGAGGGAAAGACCTTTGTAATGTTCATCCAAATGGAGCAGGAGACAGATACAAACACCTGGACAGAACTGGCGAAGGTATGTTGAATTTTTTAATAGATTGTCAGTTTGAATCTGTATGAGAGATTTAGGTTGGGTATAATTTCAGAGCAGGTTAGCCAGTAGTTACTCTGCATGTATTGTTACAGTGGGTTGCAATGAATCTTAGCAAAGTGGTAAGTCCTATTGCCTGTTTTTATGTGAGCTAAAGGTGCAAATGTCTGGCTATTTTTGAATAGCCTGCAAGGGTAGATAAATGGCTTATAAACACTGAGAGAGGAAAAGGTTGTATTAGGTTATGGCCTTATCTTGTTTACTGCTCATAGTGCCTGCACATATGGGACCTGGATGTACGAGGTTATCACAAAGGACACTGGAGGCTCTTCAGAAAGAAGAACCATGTACTAGTAGTGGCTATTCCAATCTCACCATACTCGTGAGTATACTTTACATTGTTCAGGTTATTTAGGTGAGTCAGTTTACAGTTGTGTGCCCCAGATATGTCACAGATTCTCAGTTAGATTTAGATTTGGGCCTGTTATATGACTTTTTGTTTTTGAGCTTAACTGTCGTTTGTAAGGCATTATTTGTTGTCTCTAATCTCAGAGCTTCATGTCACAGTTCTTTACTCTTATTAAAGGGATAGTTCACACCCAAAAATGAAAATTACCCCATGATTTGCTCACCCTCAAAGCATCCTAGGTGTATACGACTTTCTTTTTTCAAACGAATCCAATCGGAGTTATATTAAAAAATGCCCTGGCTCTTCCAAGCTTTATAATGGCAGTGAATGGGTGTTATTTTTCAATAAAGTCCAATAAAGTGCGTCCATCCATCCATCATAAAAAGTGCTCCACACGGCTACGGGGGGGGCTAATAAAGGCCTCCTGAAGTGAATCGATGCGTTTTTGGAAGAAAAATATCCATGTTTAAAACTTTATTAACCGTAATCTCTAGCTTCCGCTAACTGTCGTACGCGCGTTCACAATGCAATGCCGTTCCAGCAGATTACATGGGCGTAGCATAAGCTCGTAAGAAGTGTCTAATGTGGGAGCCATGTGGGACCCATTTATGATGGATGGATGCGCTTTATTGGACATCTTTTTGGACTATTGAAAAATAACACCCATTCACTGCCATTATAAAGCTTGGAAGAGCCAGGACATTTATTTTAATGTAACTCCGATTAGATTCGTCTGAAAGAAAAATGTCATATACACCTAGGATGCCTTGATGGTGAGTAAATCATGGGGTTTAAAGTTACCTTTCTTATAGAACATGTCTATACCTTGTTCTTTCATTAAGCAAACTAAATAGCCTTATGTTATTTATCTTATTTACACGACAGCATGTAATTTCGGTCTCTAAGTTATGGTCGCGCTCTCTGTATCATGCACAGCGGAGTTCCGCCCGATGCGCGCGCTCACACACACACACACACACAAAAGTAAGCCCACTCCGATACATATTTAAATATGAATTCTGCGTGTCTCTGTGTTAATGAATGGCGCAGACGCGCGGTTTTGTGCAGTACTCGTACTGAAACGCTCGTGATGCTTCCGGTGATGTTAGCATCTGCCTCTCACTAATGAGGACATAAATACACGAACAACATCTCCAGAACTGCTCTGAGAGTCGCTTCATGAGCATTTGACCGTTTCATTTCAGTAAAACTATCATCATGTCATACACACACACAGAAATGTAATGGTATTCACGGCAACCCGTCAAAATAAAAGTTCGGTTTAACTTGAGGGCATTGGCAGAAATATATTACTATTGTTGAGTAGAATGTACGTAACAGACCGCTACTACTACTACTAAAATTATTAAAACCTTATTTTTAAGGAATAAGCATTCAATATTTCTTCAATGTTTTAATTGTAATATTAAATATTTAATTTTATAAAACTTTATTTTCCAAAAAATTATTTGTTTAATTTTCATTACTTAAAATATAGATTAAATGAATGTGTCATGCCTTAAAACAAAATGTAAATACACAACACAGAATTTCTGAGCAAAAAAATCATAAGGCTATTGTAAGAATAAATTAAACTTGTTTTATGCTTTCAAATTAGACATGCTAAAACAGAATTTGGTTACAATAAAAGATAAGGTTGGACAAATAAAACATTTCATAGGACCCTAAACGTAATATTTGTTAAACTTTTAATAAATTGATGTTAAATTGTTTAAGTTTCATGATTTTAATTAATTAGACATACTTTTTAAAATGTAATTTAACCATTAAAAAGGAGTCCAGAAATTTTTTTTTAAAAACGGAATCTATCCCCCCCCCCCCCCC